GCATCACTAGAGTTTTTGCTAATCCCAAGACCTCCAGTTTTCACTATTTTCTTAGTCTCCTGCTAGGGCCCTCGCTAAGGGGAAAATGGTGCCATTTGTCAAAAGTGGTGCCTTCTCACCTTAGACTAAGGTGACCAGATCGTCCAGGTGTTGGCGGGACAGTCCTGATTTCTAACGATTTTTCCCGCATCCCGCGGCATTTTAAAAAAGTGCCGATTTTTGGAAAGAATCTTTCCAATGTTTCCAATCTTTCCAAAAATTGGGACTTTTTAAAACGCCGCGGGACGCGGGAAAAATCGTTAGAAATCAGGACTGTCCCGCCAACACCTGGATGATCGGTCACCTTACCTTAGACTAGGGGTGTCGAACTCAATCAGAGAAGGGGCCAAAATCTAAAATCCAGCCTAAATCGCAGGCCGAATGGTTTACTGAACAGTCATAAACTGTCATTGTGATGGAAACGCAGCGGAGTGCAGTGATGACAGCGCGGTGCGGGCCACATTGCAAGGCCTGGCGGGACGGATTTGGCCCGCGGGCCTTGTGTTTGACACATGTGCCTTAGACCCATGTTGTTTTCACAGGCTTATTGTACTGCACTCAGAAATTACGGCTTATCTTTGGGCCTGCCTTGAGGTCTGGAATTTGGTTTCATAGAAAAACCCCCTTGTTCCTAAGACGGCACTGGGGTGTGCTGAGTCTCCGTGGGGTCTCCAGTCTGTGCCGCCCTTGCTGAGCCCTCTCCAGCCCCCCACCCCCCGTGCCCACGGGCGTGTCCTTCGAGTCCGGAGATGACGGAGTGGACGAGGGGAACCTGCTTTCACCAGCAGGTCCCGTGCTGGGCACTGGGAGTCGTGAGTCGGAGGTGGTCCCTGTCTGCCCGTAACTTACAGACCCGCCGACAGGGAGAAAATGAGAAAGAGGTGACACGAGACGAATCCCCCAGGTGCGGTCTCAGGGCCACTTCCTCCTCCTTTCTTGCTTGTTAATCCTCCCTGTGTAAATCCATTCATCCTGTCCTGGTGCTCTGCCCTTCCCACACACCCCTGCGGCTGTCCCCCTTCCCAAAAACGAGGAGATGTCGCCACTGCCACCATCCTGCCACCTCACCTCCCCACCTCCCAGCCCGTCTCCATCAGGAAGCCCTGCCTGCCCAGGGCTCCTGCCGCCCTCTCTTTGCCCTTCTTTTCACTCACCCCGCAGTTCCTGTCTAACTCAGTAGTTTTTCCCCAATTCTTGGCCTCGTCTCAGCTTTGAATGCTATTGACCAATGTCTTCCTTCCTTAATAGATTCATTTTCTGAATTCAGAACTAACACATGCTCTTTGTAGACAATTTGGAAGACACAGAAAAGTACAAGATAGAGAATAAAACTAATCAGAGGAAAAATGCTAATACATTTTGACAGAGACGCGTGTTCATTGCTTTTGCTGAAAAGTATTGGACATTTTCAACGGAATCTTTGGCCACATGGAGCTCTCCATTCAGGATACAAAGCGATACGACGCAAACAAAATCAGAGCCAAAAAGACACCTGCAGTTCTTCACCGCGGCACCAGCTGAGCTGAACGGCTTTCCCCTTTAAGGTTTTCAGAAGCACCGTGGGCGCCCCTCCTGGAGGACCCCCAGGATGGCTGCTCGGCCCGCCTCCCTGCCGTGCCCACCCTGCCCTGGTTGAGAGCTGGCGTGGCTCCGTGGTTGGCCACGGCCCGGGCCACGTGTTCCCACGGTGCAGGCTCTAACGTAGGGGTGTCGAACTCAATCAGAGAAGGGGCCAAAATCTAAAATCCAGCCTAAATCGCGGGCCGAATGGTTTACTGAACAGTCATAAACTGTCATTGTGATGGAAATGCAGCGGAGTGCAGTGATGACAGCGCGGTGCGGGCCACATTGCAAGGCCTGGCGGGACGGATTTGGCCCGCGGGCCTTGTGTTTGACACATGTGCTCTAACGCGTCAGGCCCTTTGAACTCCCTTCTTCCTGGCAGCATGGGCCAGGCCTTTCCTCTGGAATGTCTGCAGTTCCTGGCCCCGTTTGCTGTCTGCCTGCCAGGCACAGCTTTGCATCGTGGGTGGGCTCTGCTAACCCCGGGCGTGAGCAGGTGGAGGAACCTGCGGGAGGGCCGTGCTGTCTGTCCGGAGCTCCTCTTGGGCAGAGCGCTGGGCCCCGGGGGAGGACCCTCTGACGGCGCTGAGGCCGGCCGCACGGGCCTGTCCCGATTTTTTTTAAACTCTGCGGGACGCGGGACAAATTGTTAAAAATCAGAACTGCCCCGCCAAAAGCGAGACGTCTGGTCACCTTACTCTAGAAGTGTTTCTCAGGCAGGTCTCTGTTTCTCACCGCATCGGATGAAGGCTTTTAAACTGTTGATTTTCCCATCATAAAAGTTACGTAGAGTCAAAGGCATGAACTTGCAGTTGTAAGATCATTAGGCCACGGGGATGTCTGAGGCCTGTCGCTCCCGTGGTGTGGGCCTATGGTTCCCGGGGTGTGGGGCCTGTCCCTTCTCTGCAAGTGCTGGCGGTGGATTTCTGATCCCATACTGGGTGGGATTCTGTTCTTTTGCTTTGAGGCAGGACTTTTTCGTTCACTTTGGTGGACCGGATCGGGACCAGCCCCAACTCCCCTCCTGCCTGCCTCCCCTTGGTGGGCTGGAGGGCATTTCATATCTGTGCTTCGTTGAGATGAGTTGTGGCCTCAGGGCAAGCCCTGGCCTGTGGTTTGTTTGTCCGCTTCTCAGATTCGTCAGGGTGGATGGAGAAGGGGCACTGAGGAAGGGCCGGCCTGTCGCCCTCACTCTGCCCGCCAGGCCTCTCCATCCTGTCCAAGTGTCTTCTCACTCAGAAAAGGGAAGTCCTGCCAGTGGCGAGAAGAGGGAAGTGTCATTTCCAAACCGTGGGAACGGTAGCCGTGGTGTGGGCACACCCACTCCTGGTGGGATCTCCCCATACACAGGAGAGCCTCGGGCCCCTCTGCCCCATGGGAGGGGGGACACAGCTTTCTGCCGTCCGGGGTACCAGCCGGCTCCTCAGACTCCCAGGGTTCTGCAGACTTGTTTAAACGTATTAACAAGAACGCCTTCGTTCAGAGAAACCAAATAGGTGTCAGGTGGCATGGCGTTTCTTTGTTCCCACACATTTTTATTTTCACATTTTAGTGGTTCCGAAATTGGGATGCACCTAGCAATATAGATTTGTACATTTTGATATGCTGCTATTTCTTATTTTTCTAAAGGGTGTTTCTTTAAATCTCTAAATGATTCCCAGATGACTCCATCCTAGAATTTAGGAAATACAGGGAAAGTGGAGCTTGAGAAACAAAAGACCTTTCAAAACATGGATCCAAGGAAGGAAACACACCGAAGGGGTCTTCAGTAGTGCGAGTTGGGGCCACTGCATTAAATCTCAGGTTTTTCAAGAAATTCGATGTGTGTCGTCGCGGGAAAGTGCTGACGAGGTCTGATCCCGAACCAGCATCTTCCTTCCCATGGGGACCACATAGCTGGAGCGGCGGCTCCTACCTCGTCCCCGTTCCTCTCTCCCAGGTTCCAGCCAAACACGTTTGCATATTTAGCAGAAGTCCCTTCTCCGCCTTTGTAGCATTTCTGATTCACCATTGTTGGGTGTGAAAAAGGCATTTCCTTTGCCTGTTGCCCGTGGGCTTTCCTGGGGCAGCCTCCGGGAAGGGCGGGGGGCTCCGGGCCTCCCGGCTGGTGCCGGTGCTGTGACTGCGGCCGCGGCGTGGTGTGCGTGAGCCGCTCCTGCGTGGGGCAGACGGCAGGGTTCTGTGTAAAGAAGGAGGTGCCTCCGGCAGTTTGTCAGCGTGGCCAGGAGGTTGTCAGGTCCAGGACCGCATCCGGAGGCTGCCCCTCTCAGGGACAAGCAGGGAGACACCGAGTGTACCCCGACAGGGATGCTGCTCCCGAGCCTTCTGGTGGCCCCCACGGTGCCAGCCACGGTGCTGGAGGTCCACGGATCCTCTGAGAGAGGCTGGTAAGACCGGCGTGTTAGGAGAATTCACCAGGAGCACCTGGAGGTCCCTGTCCTCCAGCCCCTCCCCTTCCTCCCTTCTCCTCACAAGCCCTTCCCCCTGGAGCCCTCACACCAGCCCCTCCAGCAGCCCGTGGGCCCAGAGCACGGCTGGCTTCATCTTTTTTCTTTTTTAAAAAAAATATATTTTATTGATTTTTCACAGAGAGAAAAGAAGAGGGATAGAGAGCTAGAAACATCGATGAGAGAGAAACATCGATCAGCTGCCTCCTGCACACCCCCTACTGGCGATCTGCCCGCAACCAATGTACATGCCCTTGACCGGAATCGAACCTGGGACCTTTCAGTCTGCAGACCGACGCTCTACCACTGAGCCAAACCGGTTTCGGCTGGCTTCATCCTTGACCTCTCCTCAGAGGGAAACGCCAGCATCTGTACCCTGGCAAACGGCTTCCTGGTGAGGCTATGGCCCGGGAGCCGGGTCTGCCTTCTTTTTCTAACATGAGACAGTTCCCGACCTTGACTAGCACTCGCAGAGCTGGTGCCTGGACGATACGCAGGGAGGGGTTTCCTGACACCTGCCCGGCCCCGTGGACCCCACGGACGAAGCACCTGGCGGGCCTGGGGTCCTGGAGCAGGGCCGTGCCAGCTCCCCACGGCGGTGCCCTCTCAGGGGGCATCTCACACCCCATTGGGCCTCCTCCTGCACCCCGACCCCCCCCCCCCCCGGGGTGGTAACGAGCAGCCTGATGTGCTTGCTTCTTGGCCGTTACAACAGGAGTTGCTCTCTCCTCATCAGGACCCGTTTTGTCAGGGTGTCTTTAATCAGGCTTCCCGGGGGCCGAGCTTTTAGAAGTTGTGTTCTCACTCTCCCTTCCCCTTTGGAAAGTCTCTGCCGGGGCCGGAGAAATGAGCTAGTGAGATGCCGTGCGGGTTCGGCCGGTGCTGATTGGCACAGGCACGGGGGCGGGCACGCTTTGCTCCACTCCTCACCTGGGTCCTGTCTCTCTGCAGGTGGCGCAGACGGCAGACGGCGTGGACGCTGACCTCTGGAAGGACGGCCTGTTCAAGTCCAAGGTCACCAGATACCTGTGCTTCACCAGATCGTTTTCCAAAGAAAACGTAAGTCTCAACGCGCCTTTCCGCTTGCTGAGTGAGCGCACGCCGCGCATGCTGCTGCCGGGAGTGTCCTCGGTGTCTGTTGTGGCTGATCCTCGTCACCACAGTAGCTCAGCTGTGGCTTCAGTGAACCGGGTGGCACCAGCGGCCCACGTTGGGCTTCCTTTATGAAGAGTGTTTATTATTAACCGTGTGCCCCAGTGTACCGTGAATTCCACTAAAATGTCTCAGGTGAACCAGGAATTCCTCCCGCAGCTCTCATTTGCCCACCTTGCCTCCGAGGAACAAATCCCAGGTGTGTGTGTGCGGGGCGGGGGCGATGGGAGAACTTTCGGAGGAGCCGGATTGAAAGCTGACCTACACCTGGAGGCGCAGCTAGAAAGGTGCTGCCTACTCAGCCCTCGCCCAGATTTCGCCGTTTCCAGAATGGTCTTCCCCGGTCTCTGTGTGCCATGGCGTCCCCTGTCCTGCAGGTGGGCATTCACCAGTGTCCACTCCTGTTAGTGTGCCTTCCTCAGACTCGGGCCATAAAGGGGAATTTTTGATGATGCCCTTGGCGCCGAGGTCAGCTGCTCCCTGCCACGCCGGGCTGTGAGGATGGACTCCGGGGACGACCTCGCTCTGCCCAGTGGCTTCACGGGTCATTTCTGATCTCTCATCCTCCCTGTCCTGACTGAGGAGGCTGCGGCTCATATGCCACTTTCATTGTGTGTGTGTGTATGTGATGTGTGTGTGTTATGTGTGTGTGTGTGTTCTTGGTGCTCTAGGCCAGAGGAGTCCCCCCTCGTGTGGGCACAGTGACAAGTCTAAAATGGCAGGAGCGTGGCCTGCGCTGGTTAATTTTGGTGTTAAAGCTCCTGTGGGGAATGCATGCTCCAGGCACCAGTTGTGGAACACTGAAGAGATGTCCAGGGAGGGCTTCCTTCGTGTGCCCTCCTCCAGGAGGCCCGGGAGCGGGTGGGGCGTGAGGAGGGTGTCAGGGGAGGACCGGGGCCCTGGGGGAGACCTCTGCCCTCCTTTGAAGCAGCAGAGGAAGTAGGTCATCTGGTTCCAGAAAAAGAAGGAGGGCCCCGTGGTGAAGTCCAAAGGGATCCATTTCCGGGGTGGCAGGGGCCACGGCTGGCCAGGGGTGGACAGGAATGAGGCATCGTCTGATCTGCCGCAGCCGCCGTGGGCCTGCTGTCAGGAGGACGCGGCTGGCGTAATTTGTGCAGCCGGGAAGGAGGGACCGGGATCTCAGGGCCGGACAGATTCTTAATTAGGTGACTTGAGACTCCCAGTGTAGGAGTTTGGGGAGACTCCTCTGGAACTTAAATTTCCTTCCCCCAATAACGCCATTAATACCGGAACCCGGCTTTGGAGTGACATTGCTTCCTGGGGAAGGATCGAGATTAATTGCACTTCTCATGCCCTGTACTTTTTGCATTACCTGTAATAATAATGTACATAGATTAGGTAGGGAGGATATTAAACAGAAGGATTTATGAACATTTGAATATTAAGTTGGTTATCTGTGGCTACCTTAAATGCAAGGTTGTCAAAAATAATTACAGTATACTAGCAAGCACTGGCGACCAGAGGCAATATAAATACCCTGAGTCAGTGCATATTGGGCTTTTGGCATGAATCATTTGCTCAACAAGGATGGGGAATACGTTCTTCATATTTATGAGGAGGAAATGAAAGAGAGCCCGGGGTGGGGGAGGGGAGAGGGACACGCGGAATTAATGGCGTCGCAGGCCCACCGTATTAGACCCGGTGCCGTGCAGCCCCGGCGCGGAGGGCCCGCGCAGGCGGGAAGCTCCGGCCGCACAGCTCCCGGTTGGTGTGCTTTTTAAAATGGCCGCCCCACCCGCGTGCCGGTTTTATGGCCCGGGACGTTTGTGATGTGGAGGGTGAGGCCGCTGAGTGGTTTGCAGTGGACTTCCGCGGAACCCGGCTTGTCAGGCGGAAGGCATGTGCAGAGGATACTGATGAACGCCCATCGTCTCCGGGAGGGACACACCCAGAGCTAATTTCTCAGTGCAGAACGCAGCGACGGCAGGGAAACGCAGCCGCCATGGAAAAAAGGGTGATGGATTAGAGGACGCAGCTCTGCAGGCAGCTCACGTCTGCGAGTTAGGCTCACGGTTCAAGCCCCATGCGAGGTCGGAGATGTGTCCGCACCCTGAGGGTCCCTGGTCCGCCTGCCGGGGCTGCACTGTGCGCTGTTTGCCCGAGGCAGCCACTGAGGAGGACTTTTGGAGAATTCTGCGAGAAGGAAACGGTTTTGTGACAACAGCACTGGTGTACACTTGACTCATGACCTTCAGTTTCATTTAAACATTTTATTTCATTTGCGTGCTTTTGATTTATAATGTACGGATTCGTGCACTGGTGGGGGTCTCTCCGCCTGGCCTCAGTCATCAGTCTGTCCTTGGCTGGCTCTGCTGGTGAGGGGGGAGTACCCGCAGACTCCTCTGAAGGGTTTAATGACACCCTTGGGGCAGCCCCCGTATTGAAGTTGGGGGGCAGGTATCTTCAGGGCTCATTCCAGGGCATCTGCAGATGGTTCTCTCGCAGTTACGGGGTGGGAGCTGTCTTCGGAAGACGTTTTTGCACCGGTCACAGACGCTGCGCACCGTGGGCCCCGCATACTACCACTCAATAGAAGCTTTAAGGCCCCGGTGCATGCATTCTGGAAGGTGTGTAATACTGAGGCTGCTCCATGCTGTGTTTTATGATTCCTGGGATTTTGCAGAATGTATTGAGCAGCAGAAACGTGTGCCGACATGCAGGCTGGAACCACGTAGGGTGCAGTTGGCTCTCTGTTCGGTTTGGAGGCAGCTCCCCCACGGCTTCCCAGGGATGTGCCCTCTAACTCCGCCGGCTGTGCCTCCGCACTCCTGGCTGCCCGTCCGCCTAGCTCGGGCGCGCCGTGTCCGGGGTCTGAGGGAGCGGCTTTGAGGTTCTGCAGGGAAACTCCTTCCCGGCCGCCGAGTCCCCGTGTGGCCGCCGAGGGACATGAAGGGGCTCCCATTCTCGTTACCCTGCCGTCGCGAAGCTGCAACAGGTTATGGTGTCGATACCCATCTCGAGGCCAATGTGGCAAACACACCGCAGGCGTGTCTGGAGTAATGGTCTTTTCTCTCTTCCCAAGAGCCACTTAGGGAACGTGCTGGTGGACATGAAGCTCATCGACATCAAGGACACGCTGCCCGTGGGCTTCATCCCGATCCAGGAGACCGTGGACACACGTGAGTCCCCTGTAGTCCCGCCCATCCCAATGCCGGTTCCTTCCTCCGGGTATAGTTTTAGGTATTTTTATGTGCATTTTTCTTTGGAAATATTTTAGGAGTCCCTACTGCTTGTCCATGAATAAACTGGTGCCTGACTCAGTTCTCCAAGGGTTCTGTAGTGTTCTGGGGAGCACTGTGTAAGTGAGCCCAGTGTCCCTGTCTCCCAGAGGGGGCTCCCTGCTGAGCTGGCCACAGGAATGGATGGAGAGGCGGGTGGCAGTCTGTCCTCGGTGCATCCTCTGTGCCGCTGAAGCCACACTTGGCAAAGACCCCGATGCAAAAGGGAAAATAAAAAAATTCCCAGGGAATGCAAGGGCAGTAATGTCCCCATTTTGGGCTCTTGGAGCTCACAAGAAGGGCCCGAAGCAGGAAGACTGCCCGCCAGCGGACACAGGATCCCTGTGAGCCCCGAGCAGGACTGAGCAGAAGGGCCCCTGACGAGTTAGAAGCTTTTTCAGGGCCATCCGCAGTGACACAGCACCGGGAAACCTCTGTGTATTTGAGCCGCCTCATTTTGACGGGATATAATTTGTTTTATTTTTAATTACTCTTACCAACTCACTTTAGGATGCCCACACCGTGAAGCAGTGAATTAAGAACGAACTCAGAGACGCCTGCCTTTATGACACGGTTTCTCTGTGAAATTCTGTGTCTCACTCTGCGCCATACACGTTTGAGTTTTCCGTGTTTGGCCCCAGTGGGACCCCCTATTTTTGCTGGGTTTTGCTAGCATTTCCCATAGACAAGACTTTTCATATCTGCATAGGCCCACATAGCTCTTACTTCAGTGACACAAGGAGGTCCCACTGTGTAGCATATTTTCATTTTCTTAAGTCTCCTCACTTTTGGACATTTTGCTACTACTTGTTTGAAATTATATGCGTTAGTTAATAATTATAATAGCTGATACTGTTTTCTGTGTGCTGACCCCTGTGATAAATGCTCTACATACCTGAGACCATTGAATCTTCAGAAGACCTCCCTTTGGAAATGGGTATCATTAAACCCAGCGCACATCTGTGATGCGAGAGCCTCAGTAACAGCTTAGGGGTTAAAGAATTTACCCCTCGGAGTGGGGAGTAACTAGAACACACAGGAGCCTGACACCAGCCACACTTCTAACCACAGTGCCAATCTGTAAAAGCGTGTGTTTAACAAAAAGATTTTACATGTTTATGTATCAGGGGGGTTTGGTAAAACTTTATTGGCTATCCTAGTAATTCACACACCATACAGTTTACTCATGAAAGTATACACTTTGGAGGTTTTTAGTGTATTCACAGAGTTTGTAGCTACTATCAGCAGTTTTAGAATATTTCATCCCCTCGTCAGGTATCTCCTCCCCAGTCACTGTCCATTTCCCTCCACCCTGTGCTGGCCCTGGGCAGCCACCAGTCTGCTTTGTAGGAGTGCCTGTTCAGGACGTTTCATGTGAGTGGAACCGTGCAGTATGTGGTCCTTCATGATCAGCTCCTCGTACTGAGCATATGTTCTCAAGGTCCATCCGTGTTGCAGCATTTTATTCCTTTTTATCGCACATAATCCGCCATGTATATGGATATACTGCATTTTGCATATCCATCCACTTGACGGATGTTTGGGTTGTTTCTCCCTTTGGCTGCTATGAATAATGCTGCTGTGAGCATCCATGTACCAGTTTTTGTGTGGACGTGTGTTCTCATTTCCCTGAGGGATCTCCCGAGGCGTGGGATGGCTGGGTCCTGTTCTGACTCCGGATGTAACTTTCTGAGGAGCTGCCACAGTCTCTAGAAGGGGCAGCACCGTGTTCCCTCCCCCCGCAGTGCGTGCGGCTCCCCAGCGGGGGTCACTGTCCTGATTCCGGGTCTCCGGGGCAGGAAGTGGGCGCTCTGGTTCCGGTGTGTGTTTCCTGTTAGCTAAGGATGCTGGGCATCTTTTCCTGTGCTTGTTGGCTGTGGGTGTGTCTTCTCTGGGAAGGTCTCTTCCGGTCCTTTGCCATCTTGAAGCGGGTTGACTTTGTTTAACTGAGTTGTCAGAATATTTTAATATTGTTGACCCTTGGGTAACATGGGTTTGGACTGTGTGGGTCCAGTTATACACAGATTTTTTCCCCAGTAAATACTGTAACCATATTTTCTTAACATTTTCTCTAGCTTACTTTATTGTAAGGATACAGTGTATTAATTGACATATTAAATACATATTAAAATATGTATTAATTGACCGTATATGTTATTGGCAAGGCTTCCAGTCAATTGTACGCTATTAGTAGTTACATTTTTGGATTTTTTTTTTATTATGTGGGGATTGGTGCCCTATCCCCTGTGTTTTTCAGGGTTTAACTGTATTCTGTATATAAGTACTTTATTAATTATGTGATTTGCAATATTTTCTCCCATTTTGGGGGTTTGTTTTCTCCCCCCCCCCCCACTTTCTTGTTGTCCTTCAAAAGGTTTTTTATTTCGATGGGATCTGTTTACCTTTTTTGGGGGGGCTTATAGTTTTGGTAACATACCCGAGAAATCATTGCCTAAATCAAGGTCACCAAGATTCATGCCGATGTTTTCTTCTAAGAGATTTACAGTTTTAACTCTAACATTTACGTCTGCGATCCAGTTTGAGTTATTTTTTGTGAATGGTGTGAGGGAGGGGTCCAGCTTCATTCCTGCACGTGGGAATTCCAGCTGAGTAACTGTCCTTCCCCCGCCGACTTGTCTCGGCGTCCGTGGTGAGCGTCAGGGGGCCATAGCTGCCCATTTGTTTCTGGTCTCCGAGTTCCTCCATGGACCTGTGTCTTTCCTCATGCCAGTCCTGACTGATCACTGCAGCTCTGTATGAGTCCTCCAACTTTGTTCTTCTTTTCCGAGATGATCTGACTATTCTGGGTCCCTTGGGTTTTCACATACATTTTGGGATTTGTCAGTTTCTGCAAAGAAGCCAGCTGGGATTTTGATAGGAACGATAATGACTCCGTAGGTGTGTACAGATTGTGAATGATTTCCTGGTAATGGGTGTCCTGGGCCCTATGGTCTGCCCAGCCTTCCTCTACAAGGTGCCCCTCACATGCAGACTCGCATGTGCGCTGTGCGTTCCCCAGGCTCCTTTCTTTGCTGGCTACAGATTTGCTAGTTTTCGTCTGAAATGCCCTTTCTCTCAACTCGGACCGCCCACACCCCACATCTTCCCAGCTGAGCCCAAGTCCTCCCACCGGCATCTGGCAGACTCTGGTCCCCGCACACCAGAGTGAAGAAGCTCAGTCAGCTCAGGTTGGCGGGGGCCTGTGGCACTGCGGGCTTTGGGACGTGAAGGTGATGAGGATCCTGGCTCTCTCCTCAAGGACCGTAGTCTAGTGAGTGATGTGCACGTGGCAACAAGGACCTGCATTACAGCCCTGTAATGAGACAGGGCTACGTCCATCAGAGGCCAGCCCCTGCCTTCATTGCAAACACGTACTGAGGGCGGGAGGGAAGGAAGCAGTGCTTGTCACAGTGGCGGCAGCTGAAGGGAGTGATTCTGCCTCTTAATTCCCATCGTTACCTCCACGAGGACCAGGTGCAGCATGGCCCATGGAGAACTCGGGCTGTGGAGGTGACCCACCTGACATCGAGTCTGGCTTTGCACTTAACAACTATAGGACTTCACCCTCCTGGGCCTCAGTTTCCTCATCTGTAAAATGGGCAAGGGGATATTGTCTACCTCACAATCATGGTCTTAGCTGCATTTTAGCCATTTATGTGTTTTCTTCATGTCTTTGCTACTTACCTCTTTCTTTGAGGGCAAGATCCGTGTTTAATTTACCTTTGAATTGCCTAAGGTCCCCACTGCACACAGTGCCGTGCTCAGAGGATGGGCTCAATAAAGATAAGCGTTATTACTCTCTGTTGCCAGATTAACTTCCAGAAACACCAATCCACGGTGCCACTAATGACACAGGCTTGTACCTGTTTCCCACAGACCTGCCAGCATCGGTTTTAAATTTTTAATTTACTTTTGCTATCCCAATTTTATTGAATTTTCATTTCGTTATTTATTAGCAAGACTGGGCATTTCACAAGTGGTTGCTTGCTACCTTTGCTTATTCTTAAATGGCTTGTCCACTTGACAACTAAAATTGCCTGTAGATTTGTGTTAATTTTCCACCCCCATCGCCTGCCTTTCTGCGTTTTAGAATTGGTGTTCGTTTTCAACAACTGACTGACTTACGGTGTCTTTGTGTTGATACTGTGGAGCCACAGGGGGTTCCCATTCTGCACTTTGCTCTCACTGAACCAGTTCAGCGAGGAAGCCCGGGGGGAGCCCGCCTGGGCTGCGGTCTGGCTGCTGTGGGGTGAGCCTGGGCCGGACCCGGGGCGGGCAGCCTTTCCCTGGGCCTGGACTTTCTCAAGTTGTCCTGGCCTCTCCGCCGGGTGTCTTACCTCACAAGGAGGGTGGGTTCGGGGTCGCCTTCATTTCGTGTCATTTCCTGGGGCCTGTACCCAGGGCACGGGTGCCGATTGGGTGCATGTGAGGCCCTGATTTTATAAAGTCAGCCAAAAGGAGGCGACTCCTGTAATCAGTTTAAAGTACAGTTAGTTGCAATCCATGTAGGCCTTAGCCACTGGCAGGCTGTTTGCTTTAGTAAAGGGCTGCGTCCTCTCTGTGCTCACTGGCATGACTGGACGCATTCCTATTGGCTCTGCGGACGTATTTCCTTACAATAGGGGTGTCGAACTCAATCAGAGAAGGGGCCAAAATCTAAAATCCAGCCTAAATCGCGGGCCGAATGGTTTACTGAACAGTCATAAACTGTCATTGTGATGGAAACGCAGCGGAGTGCAGTGATGACAGCGCGGTGCGGGCCACATTGCAAGGCCTGGCGGGACGGATTTGGCCCGCGGGCCTTGTGTTTGACACATGTGTGATAACACATTCATGGTTGTTCCTCACTGAGCACATACGTGTGCCAGGCACGGGGCTCAGGGAAGCGTATCTCGACCCCCTTTCATCCGCCTACTCCCTCAGGGCGGGTTCCATCGGCTCCTTTTACGGACAGAGGGACAGAGGCCCGGAGAGATTAAAGCCATAATGCTCGGGTCTGTGTGACTCACGTCTGAGTGACGGCAGTTAACGAAACGTGTTTAAAACCCACGGATGAGCAAGCAGACACCGGCTGGCACCGCGGGGCTGGGCGGGCACAGACACAGGCGCATCCTGAAGACTCGGTAACTAAAGCATCACGTCGTTATCTTGTTTCCTCTGAATAACTGAAGCAAAGTTATTTTTTATAAAGAAGAATTCCAGCTGCAAGTGTAGGAGGATGACAGAAAACCGCCACTTTGAAACCTTTAATGAAATGAGGGATCTAAGCAGCAGTCGTGGGGGGGTGAACACTCAGAGAGTGGCTGCTGGGGACTTCGTCCCGGGGGACAGACCGACACCCCCAGAAGCTGAGCAGGCGAGCTGTCGCCACAGGATGTACCTGCACCACCCGGGAAGTGTTTTTGTCTAAAAAACCCCAACCTGCCTCTTACCCGCCTCCAGCCGTGACTGCCGTTCACAGGGGCACAGGGGAGGGACCAGCCTCTCCAGCACCGGTGCCCGAGGACAAGGGAGAGGGAGAGGCTGTGCCAGAGTAAGAGCGACTGGAGAGGCCTGGCAGCCGGTCAGACAAACCGGCAGTGAAGTGGCTTCTTTGAGACCATGAAGGGAACTTGAGTATAGACTATTGATTGGATGTATTAGGAACTGTTGTTCATTTTCTTAAGGATGGTCATAGCATAGTGATCGTGTTAAAAAGGATTGTCTGCCCCAGGTGCCTGCTGAGCTATAGGACAGGTGATAAGGCATGGTGTTAGAGTAAGGTGACCAGACGTCCCGCTTTTTATAAAAATCGGGACTGTCCCGCCAAAAGCGGGACGTCTGGTCACCTTATATTAGAGATGCACCCTAACTCCTCCGGCCAGGCCCGGGGTGAAGCCCGCCTGTCCATGGGGCGGCGCTGAAACTAGATGACAGGAACGTGTGGGGTCCTGCACTCCGGGAGAAAAGAAAGCGGTCCGTGTGATACAGCGTGTTCACGCGCGGTGTCCGTGTGCTGTCTGTCCTGCGGGCTGCCGCGGGAGCAGCGCGGCTGCTGCTCGCAGAGGTGGCGTGGGGAAGCCTGCCCTCGGCCCGCACAGTGCTGCCCGCCGGGGGCCGAGGGAGGCCCGGAGGGGCAGGGCCCAGCGCTTCTGCCCGGCGCTTGGGTGACCAGCCCCTCCCGCTGCCAGAAAGGGAACGTGACGGGACAGGATGCGCCGAGTAGAGACTCAGCCTCTCCCTGTTCTTCCCGCAGAGGAAGTGGCCTTTAGGAAGAAGCGGCTGTGCATTAAGTTTATCCCGCGGGACTCCACGGAAGCGGCCATCTGCGACATCCGGATCATGGGCCGGACCAAGCAGGCGCCCCCTCAGTACACGTTCATCGGGTGAGTCTCCTGACAGACCTCGCCGCCTCTCTGTGCCGGCTCAGCCAGGCCGGACCACCACGCCGGCCACTGGAGGCCGGCTCTGAACGGTGACACCCAGGGCACAGAGGGCGGTGTGGCCCAGGGCACAGAGTGTGGTGTGGCCCAGGGCGCAGAGGGTGGTGTGGCCCAGGGCGCAGAGGGCGGTGTGGCCCAGGGCACAGAGGGTGGTGTGGCCCAGGGCACAGAGGGCGGTGTGGCCCAGGGTGCAGAGGGCGGTGTGGCCCAGGGCACAGAGGGCGGTGTGGCCCAGGGCGCAGGGGGCGGTGTGGCCCAGGGCACAGAGGGCGGTGTGGCCCAGGGCACAGAGGGTGGTGTGGCCCAGGGCGCAGAGGGCGGTGTGGCCCAGGGTGCAGAGGGCGGTGTGGCCCAGGGCACAGAGGGCGGTGTGGCCCAGGGCGCAGGGGGCGGTGTGGCCCAGGGCACAGGGGGCGGTGTGGCCCGTCTGTGGGCAGCAGTTCCCTGGCGTTTGAGGCAGCGGTTCTTTTAATGGAGCCAGTGTGCTCTGTCACTCAGGTAACTGCTTTGTGCTCACCCGCGCCATGAAGATCTCTCTTTTCTCCCAAAGGGAACTGAACAGCATGGGCATCTGGTACCGGATGGGCCGAGTTCCAAGGAACCACGACTCATCTCAGCCCACAACACCTTCCCAGTCGTCGGCCGCTTCCACCCCCGCCCCCAGCCTTCCCAGGTGAGGCCCGGCCCGCGGCCCCTCGGGCTGCGGTGCGGGTTACAGGCACGTGGTCCAGGGTCCCAGGGCACACGTCTCAGAGCCCCTCCGCTCAGTATCTGCTGCAATGGTGCGGGAGCAGTGTGCCTCCGGAGGAGAGTTCAAAGTCCAGTTAGAAATCCTTGCATCGCTCGAATGCGAAGGCCGCGGTGTGTTCTGTCCCGCACACACGAAGGCCCTGAGGGAGCAGAGCGGCAGCTGCAGGGTGCTGGCTGGCGGAAGGGGGTGGAGTTCCCTCTGCCTGGGCCAGCCACTCCTCAGAAACCGGGAGGGTCGGTAAGTCGTCGTGTTCATTTTCACATTGTTCCCTTTCCCAGTGAGTAGAACTGAGACGTGAGTGGTCTGGGTTTGAGAGAACAGTGAGAAGTCTTTTAGGAGATGTTAGTTTTAATCATTGTTTCCACAAAGAAACTCGGGAGAGCAAACAGCACTCTGCAGCTGATTCTAGTCGGGATGGTGGTAGGAATGGTCTCACTTTCTGTAAGATGCTGGCGGGGAAAGAGTCCCGCCACGCCAAGAAACCGCGCATCTCTAGGAAGTAAATTATTTGAGGACAAGGAACAACAACAGCAGCGATGACGGATTAAGTCTGAGACGGGGATTACCAAAGTAAATAAAATGAGGAAGGCTTGGCGGCGGTGTCATTGGGGATTACTGTCACATAAATGAGAGTGGGTCTAGAAGCTTCCAGGTGGGCCAATGGAGAGGAACACAGTCTGTCAGGATCAGGGCAGAGCGGTCCGGTGGGCTCCGCTCCTGGTCCACGCCCACGCCTGGCCCTGGGAGGCGCAGGGTGGCCGGGCTGCACTGCTCTCTGAGCACCCGCCCCTCGGGAGAAGCCAGCTCTTTCGGCTCATCCTCCATGGAGACAACCTGGGCTTCCTCCTGACAGACCACAGCCAAGCGGTCCTTAAGCTTAACTGCCTGGAATCGCTGACATTTCAGAAGCAGCTTTCCAGCTCACTCCGATGGGGAAGACACAAACAGCGGATGTGTACCCAGAGGGAGGCGGGGCCGCTGCGTGTGTCTGCCTGGGTTAGGACGGTTGGGGAGCGTCCAGCCAGGGGCCGTACCCGGCCCTTAAAACCGTTTGGTCTGGCCTGCCAAGCCACTAGGGATGATTAATAAGTGTTTAACCAGATATCGCAGGCTAATGCTAAGTTGGTGATGTGTATGGCCTGCGGATGTTGCTGTGAATATGCAGTGGCCCTTGGCAGGAGACAGGTCCCCACGCTGCGTTAGGAGCTCGAGGCTGATGCAGTCAGTTCAGCGCTTGCTCACTGTGCAGGGCGCGGCCAGAGCTGCAGTCCCCTCACCTGTGCTCAGGGCCGCGCAGGCCCATCACCTGGGGCAGGCTCATTGCTGGGCCGTTCCAGCTGCTCCCTGTTGACATCCTCGGCTGGGAAGGACCTGGAAACGGGCACAACCTCGGGCAGGTTTTACCTTCCTGTTGGGTGAAGAAGGTGCTGCTTCCCAGTGAGTTAAAGCAGGAGGACCGGTCCCCACAGAAGCTTGCCGGTCAGTCAGTGATGGGCACAGTCAGTGGTGGGCACGGTCAGTCAGTGGTGGGCACGGTCAGTCAGTGGTGGACACGGCCAGTGGTGGGCACGGTCAGTCAGTGGTGGGCACGGTCAGTCAGTGGTGGGCACGGTCAGTGGTGGAGCCCGGTGGCTGGCCACTGAGGTGAGAGGGCCCGAGACCCCGTGTGGCAGCGGGTGGAACTGCAGGTGGTATTTACAAGGCTTCCATATTTTATAACCTCTTGTTGTACAGTTTATGGTTTACAGTGCTTATAAGGAAATTGGATCAGTTTTGTTTTACTTGCCAAATAAAACAAATGTCAAAATAGTCAATATAAAATGTATCCTAATTTGGCTGAGTTAAGTCAGCCAGTAGGCAGTAGAATAATTGGATGTTACATTAGTGCTTCCCAGTCACACCACTGTCTCTCCGCTCTCCGCCTCGCTGTGCGGGTTACAGGGGCATGCACAGCTGCGGAGCCTCCCGATTCGTAGGGCTTCTGTGCCTTTGGCTTTTGTATTGTTTTCTTATCCAGCATCTTTGATAATTTTTTAAAAATGAGATGCTGATGACTTATCCGAGCTTTCCATTGGAGATCGATGAAATGATGAGTATGCTACTCGATCCCTTGAGGTTTCAGGTCTCTAACTCCCGGCAGGGGAATCTGGCAGCTTCCGCCCCCTCGCCTCCCCAAGCCTCAGACCTCATGCTGACCTGGTAGCCTGGTCTTCCCTTCCTTTCCTGCTTCTGTGTCTTTGCTCACGTGGACACGGGAGATATCAGCCCCATGCCCCCTCTCCCAGGGAGCCTTCCCTGAACACCAGGGGCTGGGCCTGGGTCTTGGCTTTCTTTTCTGAGCCTCTCGGCTGTTCAGCGTTTGTTCTGGGTTGTGTTCACTCTATGTTCGAACTCCTGGAGGCAGGGCTGTGTCCAGTGCCGGTGACCTCCCAGCCCCCAGCGCAGGTCCAGGCACGTATTCAGTTTTGCAAAAATGCGTCTCCATCAGTCTAAGACCTTGTGCTGCTCTCACCCACCACCTCCCTCTCCCCCAAAACTCCAGGGCCCCTGAGCAATCCTGGGGATTTTTCTGTTTATGAGAGTAATACGAACTTGTAGAAAATTGACAGAATACAGAAATCCCATTTCCAATGAGCAGAGGTGCATAATTGTCATTTTTCTGTGCACTTTTTCCAGAGGCGATATCATGTAATAGCAAGCTGGTGTTTTGCTGCTTCCTACTCCTGTAGTGTTGAACCACCAGCATAAGAACAATTCCCTCAGCCTGGTCTTTGTGTGAACCAAGGATCAGGTTGCAAAGCCTGCGCAAGCGTGAGAGAGTGGTGATGCGGCGCCCTCTACCGGCCAAACGTGGAGGCGGCGGCGCGAAGGACTGGCCGGCTGGTATCTGAGTAAAGGGCTGCAGGTGTTTCCCCAGCAAATCCCTGGCGGGGCCTGGGAAGGGACGAGGGAGCTGGGCCAGGAGCAGACTGTATTGTTTTCTTGAGCTCCAGGCTTTGTCTCAGAAGTTAAAATTGTGTTGCTCTACCCCTGTTTCTTACGTTGCCACTCATATTTCCAAGAACTAAATGCCATTTTTTGGTGAGCTCTGATCTCCAGCTTAATTCAGACAAAAGGCAGTCGGTGGAGCTCTTCAGGAATGGTAGGTCATCCCCTGAGGGCCTTGTGGACCCAGCCGAGCTGCCTTCTCGATCGGAGGCAGGGGCTGCCGGACGGGCGCTTTCTGCCGTGTCCTTCCTGTGGCTACGGACAGAGACCGCCCTGTCCTTTCATGGTGGCCCTGCCCCCTGGCTGTATCCACTGAGTTGGACGAGTTTTGGTGACATTTGTGGCAAAAGGCGGGATTAGGTGTCTGGGCAGAGCTGCTCTTTCTCATTCAGCGAATCTCTCTCATCTCTGCACACTATTCTGAGCTCCCAGCTGCCGAAGGTGATGCCGCCTCTCCCAGGAGCTCGGAGCCTGTTTGCTCTCCGGCCTCGGCCCGTTGCAGGTTGGCTGCAGCACGGCGCTGGCTGTGGGCTGAGGCCCAGACACCCCCTTCTCTGCTGGGCAGGCTGAGCGCTGCAGTCCGCCAGCGCAGCCTTCCCGGTTCTCTTCTGTGCCGCTGCCGGGCCGGTGCAGAGGGGGAAGCACCTTCCAGCTCGGCCAGGCCAGCCCTCCACCCTCTCCCACGGGGGCTCACCGCCATCCTGCTGGGAGAGAAGGGTGTGGAGAAGCTCTGGAGGCCGGTGCATCCCGGGATGGAGGACCGAGCCCTGGGGTGTGGGTGTGGGTGTGGGTGAGGGTGAGGGGGCGGCCTGTGCCGTCCCAGCAGGCCCTGGTGCACTGCACCCCGGCTGCTCAGCGGCAGAGCCCGTGGTGTGATCACACCTTAGCAGCCCATGTACCACATTTGCAGATGACACAGAGCAGTTAGGGAGCTGAAGGTCCGAGTGACAGAGCCAACCCTCCACCACTTGCTCCTCGCTGGAGCCCCGCGGCCAGGAGATGAGGGTGACAGGCGGGCAGGGGCGGGCCTCAGGAGCCGGGCTCAGCAGTGGTGTGAGCGCCCGGTGGGAGCCGGGGTGTGTGGCAGGCAGCCTGGCGTGTGCAGAGGGCGTACCCGTTAGGCAGTGTCCCACGCTCTGGCTGCACTGGGAGGGCGTCCCCTGCCCGCCCCGCCCTCACCACCTGCGCGAGGAACCGCGGGTCAGACCTGGGAGACACGGCCGCTGCAGCGGAGTGCATGGCCGTCCGTGGGAGGCTAATGCGGAGGAGATGCCAGCGCTGTTTCCGGGTGGGGATGGGCCCTGAAAGCCCCAGAGGCAAATAGATTGGGTGAACTGAAGCTAGAAGGCGTAGACCCGGGCTTCACATTTTAAAAATGAGCAAATAAACTCCCCCACGTAAGAACTGCTGGGCCTCAGAGAGGCCAGCGTCAGGGCCGTGAGTTCCCAGCTGCTGGCACCAGTCAGCCAGCTCTGGGCTCCTCTGACATCACCCGGCGTCACAGGCCCTGTCCCACGCTCGGACGTTCAGGCTCAGGAGACCACGTTAGGGCGCGGGCACCTCGCCTCAGGCCCGGGAGCTCCGGTGGGCGGGGAGGGCCCAGCAGTGGGTGTCTGTCCCCGGGATCTGCCCACCCGACTTGTCGCCGTCGGCTTCTGGGGCCCCAGAGCCGGTGCAGAGGAGCTGGATGACGGTGGAGTGACTGCCTGGACCCTCCCCGCGGCCCCCGCCTCGGCCCGCGTGAGCCCGTCCCTTTCGGAGTCCGTGTCCATCTGGAATACGCAGTCTGGCTCCGGTGCCGGATTCTCTCTGTGGTTGTCGGGCCCAGGGGGCCTGGAAAAGGTGGAGAATGTGGTTCCAGCAGCTCCGCTCGCCCTTCCCGCCTGCCTGGGTGCTCAGGCCTGTCCGTCCTGCTCCACACTGACCTCAGGCTG